CCTTCTTGCTGAGTCATTGCACTGCAAAAACTGTCCACCTAACCCATCCATCCATCCATCCATCCGTCCATTTTCTGTACACGCTTTTTCCTTTTCTCACCTAGGGACAATTTAGAGTTATCAATTAACCTAACAGTCATGTTTTTGGTCTGTGGGAGGAAGCCGGAGTACCCGGAGAGAACCCACGCATGCACGGAGAGAACATGCAAACTCTACCCAGAAAGGTCCCCAGACCGGGATTTGAACCGGTGACCTTCTTGCTGAGAGGCTGCATATCAATTAATTGTTAATCAGTCTATAAGATAAATCAACTTCAGATTAATTCATTATCAATAACTTGCATCCTTAAGGAGTTAACTTTATTTATATCTACTCATATTCATATAATTAAGTGCTTTAATGATTTGGCTGATAAATCGATTAATCAAAAATAAACAACAGATTAATCGATTATTAAAACAATCGTTAGTTGCAGCCCTACATTATAGACATTGGGATGTAAATCACCTGTTTGTATCACAATTCAACATTACAACCCCAATTCTAATGACGTTGGGATGCTCTGTAAAACAAATAAAACGAATATGATGATCTGCAAATACTCTTCAACCATATTCAGTTGAATATGCTACAAAGACAAGATATTTAATGTTCAAACAAATATTCACTCATTTTAAATTTGATTCTGCAACACGTTCCAAAAACACTGAGACTGGAGCATGTTTACCTCTGTGTTCAATCACTTTTCCTTTTAACAACACTAAGTGTTTGGGAACTGAGGACACTAATTGTTGAAGTTTTGTAGGTGGAATTATTTCCCATTCTTGCTTCATGAACAACTTCAGTTGCTCAACAGTCCAGGGTCTCTGTTGTATTTTGCACTTCATAATACACCACAGCTAGGGCTGCGCAGTATATGCGGTAGACGGTAGAAACGGTAAGAAGTTGGCCTACGGTAGAAATTTATACTCTACCGTCCTATCGTCATTACATCATCACGCCTGTGTCAGCAGTGCTGCGAGTGCAGAGACAACTGAGCAGGAGTTCAAAATATAATGAAGAAATTCTAGCATTTTAAAACACGTACAGAGAGAATAAATCCTCAAAATTTCCCCCTCCCGCTACAGAAAAGTTACGTCGTGTCGCGGGATCATAATCTCTCTCTTCCACAGCACGTCGCGCAGAGCGAAGCTTTAACAACTGTAGTTTTTGACACCCAACTGTCGGAGAAATAACTTGTTTTTTATGTATTGCTACCCAGAGAGGTGATTAAAAAAAGACGTGGACGTTCGTTCATTCATACTGTAAATCCATCTTGCTAATGTAAAGTCGGCTTCTGCTCTGATGATGAAGATGATGATGTAGGGATATGCTGTTTGTCGATGTTATGGACAATGCTATATCATAAATACCTCGTAATTATTAGCATAACAAAGGGCACCACCTGATTATTTCAGGAAATAATTCGTTGATTTTAAATCAGTCTCAGATACTGAGTTGTGAATTCTATCATTTTCAAGACATAACCAAGAAATGACGCACAGACAAACGGAATTTCATAATATAACCTATATTAAAAATGATTCAGAGGTGACAATACAGATTATTTTGGGCAGACAGAGACAATTATCATCAAACCTTAAGTCTAATAATAACGTTAACGTCAGTCACAATAATAATAACTAGTATCCTTCACCTGAGTCACTTTTCTACTCTACGCTCACAAAGATTATAAGAAGCTTGAAAGTTAATAAAAAGGAAGTTGTTAATTCATCAATAAAAGGGGATGTGGATTATGCCTGAATTAAGCTCAGGGCGAACCTTCTTTACTACCAACTTAACGATCCAGAAGTTTCACCACCTCAGCTGAGCACNTTTAATTAAGTTCTAACAAACTTTTAAACGAGTTATCACAGCGATTCTGTGATCACAGCATGCAGCGTGAGCGGGGACGCACGAAGGAGCACGGAGCAGTGGAGGCGCACGGAGGTTTGGGCGCGCGGCGGCACTTTGGCACAGAGGCGCGGCGTGCGTAAAACCTTCCCAAATCTGGGTAAACTCTGTCAGAGCTAAATTCCACCTTAAATTTTATCCTCTATAAAGATAAAATCCTCCACAACAGCGGTCGATTAATCCGTGTTGAGGAGCGTGGTGTAGCTTTGTTTTCTCCTGCTATCACAGCTGAAGAGGTACAAGCTATTATGGTTTTAGACACACAAGCTATTTCTTCAGCTTTTTCTAAAACCTGTCGACTTTAAAACGCGCGATATTATAAACAGAAACTGATTTTCTGTTTATATTTCATGAAGAAGAGATTCGGTCGTTTTTCTTTCTGACGTCTTTAGCTAAATAAAAAAAACATAAAACAAAATAAAGGTTTGCGCATAGGTTTAGAGGTGGAGAGAGAGAAAAGAGAGGAAAGAGAGGGGAAAGGAATCGTCACAACGCGTCCGTTTTGACGTCTTATTTCCTATAGGCGCAGGTATCGTGTATATTAAAAAATGTCCACCACTTTTAATGACTGATACGCTGTACACTTCAGGAAATAAGTATGAAGAGAGATTTGGGTCTATTTGTGCGTTATAACAGGGTTTAGTCTTTTCTTGAGCCTCGCACGCGGGACCAAAAATAATATGTAGGGATATGCTGTTTGTCGATGTTATGGACAATGCTATATCATAAATACCTCGTAATTATTAGCATAACAAAGGGCACCACCTGATTATTTCAGGAAATAATTCGTTGATTTTAAATCAGTCTCAGATACTGAGTTGTGAATTCTATCATTTTCAAGACATAACCAAGAAATGACGCACAGACAAACGGAATTTCATAATATAACCTATATTAAAAATGATTCAGAGGTGACAATACAGATTATTTTGGGCAGACAGAGACAATTATCATCAAACCTTAAGTCTAATAATAACGTTAACGTCAGTCACAATAATAATAACTAGTATCCTTCACCTGAGTCACTTTTCTACTCTACGCTCACAAAGATTATAAGAAGCTTGAAAGTTAATAAAAAGGAAGTTGTTAATTCATCAATAAAAGGGGATGTGGATTATGCCTGAATTAAGCTCAGGGCGAACCTTCTTTACTACCAACTTAACGATCCAGAAGTTTCACCACCTCAGCTGAGCACGCCACCGGATAACAGAGTAAATTACGTCTGTCCTACCAGTCAGATGTCTTATCGTTGTCCCTGGGTACCGGAGCTTGATCGAGCTGTGCCAGCGGCGTCGCTGGTTTCAGAGCGGTCCCTTGTGGGTACAACTGGACTTCTCGAAGTGGCTGGGTTCAGCTCCAAGCTGGAATCATGTTTGCCTCTGGTCACTTGTTGATTGAAAAGAGTTCTGAACAAGCTCGCTTCCTGCATGAATCCAGTACCTCGTTATAAAGGCAAATTAACAACTTTAAAGTTACAAAATAAAATAAAATAAAAAAATAAAATAAAATAAAATTATCCCTGAGGGAAAATGGAGCTAGCTTTAGTCATCCATCTCTTCTCATCGACTGCTTCTTTTCGACTGACTTCTGCTTGCTGCCAAACTAAATCTATTGTTCAGGCTCCTAAACTCATGATTGGCTAGTCATGATCACGTGACCTGTTTTTCTTTTCACAGACTGCCATCCTTAGAATTGATTASAAACACACACAGAAATAAGATAGTTTGTGAAGTGATTAAAGTACATTGTTCACATGATTGAGTCACGTAGAAAATACAATGATTCTTTTTTTCTTTGCTCAAAATGATGAATACAAAAAAAACATTCATTCACAGTGTAATTATAAAACCAGTCTTTTGGGGCACTGTGACACCATAAATGAGGTGGTATGTAAACAAGGTCTTTGWTGCAAATGTATGTAATAAACTCAGCAGGAAATCCAGCTTCAAAGGCCCTTCTCTCACTTAGCAGAACCCATTCTGCCAGACTTTGTGTCTGCTAAAACTTGAGTTCTTTTGTGATAAGCGGCCATGTTTGAGTACATCACAGAGTTCTCACCGTACTCAAACAACAGAAGGTCTCTGTCGCATCCTTTCGTTATCTTACCACTCGTAGATAATAAACAAAGGTTTTGGAGGTAAATGAATAGGTCACTGTTCTCTTGTAAACATGGGCAGAGTCATGTGATGGTCAGAGTTTGGAGCGTTAACCTTTCACTCCAAGTTATCACTACAATGAAGATGAGCGTGCAGCAGAACAGCTGATAAGTTCAGCAGGCGGAAGCTCGTATAGCAGGCAGATATTAAAGCAAAAATGCTGGGTTTGATTAAGATGACAGTTTTCTACAAAAAAATGCTCTAAAAATTACATTATCTTTACTTTTTATAATTTTCTACCACGATATATGCCGTTACCATGAAGGGATTCAATTTATACCGTGATATGAATTTGTGGTCATACCGCCCAGCCCTAACCACAACCAACCTCGTTTGTAGAGATGTGACCTTTTAAAAACCATCCAAACTTTTTGGACGGCTTTTTAAAACAAATGCTGTGAACTGAGTTGCAGACAGTCGATTGTTTTCTTTTTGTTGTTTTTTTTTTCTTTTGTTATTTTTTCTCCTCTCCTCACGTTTTCCTCCTCAAATGCTGACACCCACTCTCTTTTTCTTTGCTTTTTCACTTAAGGTGGGAACATACTCACTCCGACGCCGACAGGTCGACGCGCGGTCACGTGGTTGTTCGGCAATCGTTTTCGCACAGACCTTTCATAGTCCCTACGACACCCCCTCCCTGAAACATATGTCACTGCATGGAGTTCCCCCGCAACAGCCGATAATGCAGAAAAAAAAAGTCAGAATTTCCCCCCTCAACAGCAATGCAGAAAAAAAGTCACTCACCCGACGGATTTTTTTCCACATCTGTCCTGGTTTTAAAAGCTCCACAGTTTCAGATTCCTCCGTGCCTGTTTATCTGTTATGTCTTTTATCTCCATTCATGAGTTTTTCAGTTTGACTATCTTTATAAAACTCTGGTTCCTGGTCGGCTCGGGGAGCGAGTCGTCCCCCCCCCCCCCTATTATTTTTTTTTTACCGAGTGGTTGAAGTAAATGCAGCGCATAGCGCTGTCAGCACAAACACACGAGTTTTTCTCAGTCTATCTTTAAAACTGCTCAAAACAGTCTGCTCTAGTCAGAAGCAAGTTTTTGTTTTTTTCTTCAGCTGTGTCCGTCCGAACGCTTTCAGTTCAGACCAATCACACATTACCGTCGACAAGGGAGGGGGGTCAAAAAGTTCTGCCGGGGGCTTGTGCCAAAAGGGGCTGTCGACACGACGCTGCGAAGCCCGGTGACATAATTCTCGTCATTAAACTGCAACTACTCGTGCCGACGTCGACAGTTCGCACAGAGTATGTTTCCAGCTTGAGATGATAAAGAACAGAGTGAAGGGTAGGAACGCAGCAGTTGTTGTATGTGATGAGGAGAGCATGAGCTCCGGTGTAGAGGCCATGCACACCGGCGTCACTAACATTCAAAATTGAGTTATGTGAAATAAACAGATCTTCTTCTAGATCCAGCTCCCTCCAAAGAGCCTTATTTTCCATCTCTAATTTTTTGCAACATTTTTACAGTTTTATCATTTTTTATCTCTTGTTTCTGCAGAAGCCATGATTCTTATCAGTCTGCCATGTGGAGCTTCTCTTAACTGAAAACTAATTCACAGATTTAATCTGATGCAGGTGTTTACGAATGGCAAATTACAGAGTGATTCCATAATTTCCTCTACTTGTCTTGTGTGCACTGTATCTCGTGAACAGAGCTATTGATTTCAGTCAAAATTGACATAATTGTTCTTGCCCCAACGGAGGTCTGAAAACATCTTGGAGGAATATGTCTGTCTTGTTTTTATGAATTCCAGAAGGTTGAAAATATGAACAATATCTATAATTTATTTTCTTTTTAAATAAAAAATTAAAAAACTGAAAGAAATCTTTAGAGTGGTGATCCCATAATGTTTGACAGGTCACTGTAGACTAAATTTTAAAATATCTTATTGTAGTTTTTTTATTTTTAGTAGTAATAATACTTACATGGCTCAAACAACTGTAGAGTAAACTGTAGAGAACACTCAAGTGAGAACATGATTTTTGTGTTGGATCTCAGCATGTTTTGGATTAAACTGCTCAGCTTGTTGGCAGGCGCCTGCTTTTATCAGCTTCAGACAAACCATTTGGACACTGAGAACATAAAGTATTTGTCAGCTTTTGAGTGGGAAAGTTTTTAAGTTTTACCATCTGACGGAGATCACGAGGAACTTCTTGTCCCTAATCACTGTTTTCTCCTCTTTTCTCTCCTTTCGCTCCAGTTCTTTAGTGAATATGAGAAGTTACTGCACTCTGAAAACTACGTGACGAAACGACAGTCGCTCAAGGTGAGGAACCGGGTCGTGCAAGTGAAAACATCTGGTTGTGGTCCAACTGTGTTTAGAGTTATTTAAAGGAGCAACAGTGTTGGGTTTCTCAACATCACTTCTCATGTCTCCCATCTAGTGGTTGGAGCTCACAGTTTAATAACATGCCATTAGAGCCATTTGTGGGTTTTTATTTTCCCTTTTTTTGTGTTTTGACTTTGCAGATAGTGCCAAATGTGGCTTTAACTGAAATAAATATCAAGATATTATCAATTATTCTAAATTGCTGGTTTGTGAGACACAACCAGAGCAGGTTGTCTTCTGAACACATTTGATTAATTGAATTTCTCTCACTCTGAATGATGTTTAGTTACTGGGAGAGTTGCTTCTGGATCGGCACAATTTCACCATAATGACGAAATACATCAGCAAGCCAGAGAATCTCAAACTGATGATGAATTTGCTAAGAGACAAAAGCCGCAACATCCAGTTTGAGGCTTTCCATGTTTTTAAGGTAAGATGATCAAAGCCAGTCGCAGCCTTCATGTGAGGCAGCTGCTCTATGAGGAAGGAAACAAAAGTTAAGAATGAATGAATGAATTTATTTGTTCGGGACAGTGTGCAGTTAAAACATAATTTGATGCATTGCACCAGATTTAGCCTAAGGCTAATTCACATCTGTAGTCCCTTCAGACAGTAAAACAAAACAACATTCAACAGTAAATGGAAATAAGAGGAAATAAAAACACAGAAAAATAAAAATAATATAAAATAAAACATTTTGCAATTTAAAAAAATACATAAATACCCCACTCTCCAATAGGGTTGGGTACCAAAACTCTGTTCCGGTATGGCACCGGGGCGAACATCCACGGTAGTACACAGATCGAAACCCAACTCTAACTTTGGTGCTTTATTTCAGTGCCTCAAAGAAAGCTGTTAATTTGCGCCGTCTGGTGTTCACGGTTAACAGTGACAGCCTCGGCACACAATCTCCACGGACGCGGTTCGACTCGGCTCGGTGTCGGCCCAATGCGTCTCCAAGTGCACTCCACAGCCACGTTGTCTCTGAACCTCCTCTACGGTGGTTCGGGTAGAAGCGAGTACAGCATGCTTATGATTTTAACATCAGCAGAATTCTGCCCATGGATTAACTCTTGGATTGACTGACAGCAAATTTACTCCTGAAGAGAGCTGCTTTTTGTTCAGGAATACGAGTGCGCTGCGCAATACGACGACATGGTGAAATAAAACTGCCTTTTTGAAAAAGGCAGAACTTGTAAACACTTCCTGGAGAGAGGTGAAGGAGACGAAGCTGAGCAGATCAACAAACTGTCCGTCCATAGTTACACAAGCACTTACCTAAACAGCACCGCGATAATTAATTAATAAATAAATAAAAGTGAATGGTAATACCACAACGGCTTTTTTATTTTATTTTATTTTTAACACAACAGTTGAAGCCGCTGTGGACGGTCCACACATTATCACACCCACTGCGTGGAGACACACAGACACTGAGCAGAACCGACCCGACCCGATCCGACCCAAAGTGAATCGAGTAGAACCGAGTTCATGGAGAGGGGCTAACAGGTGCCGTGCAGTTAACAGTTATATATTGTAGTTGAGATGACGAAAGCAAAACCGTCCAAAGTGTGGTGTCACTTTACAAAATAAGATGCAGAAACCTACACCTACAACAAATACTTTAAGAATATTTGGTGCAAAGACAAATTATTAATGGTTTTAAGTTAATGTGTTGGTCAATTTCAAGTTTGACTTTGACTCAGAAATATTCATTCAAATAAACCTCTGTGTGAGTGTGTGTGTTTTATTTATTTATTTTTAAATTACTGATTTAAATACCATTTAGGAACCGGTACCATTTTGAAAGTATCGATTTAGCACCGGTATCAAAATAAACCCTTTCAATACCCAACCCCACTCTCCAAGCATAATTAAAAAGTTATATCACTACACATCCAATAAAAAATGTGTGACAAACATCACCAATATGCAATAAAAACGTTATAT